CCTCCTCCTCTTCCTTCTCTTCCTCTTCCTCTTCCTCCTCCTCCTCCCCCTGCAAACCCCACGCCCTACTAACACTGCTGATGTCTCCTAGTTGAGTCATGAAATGTCTCTGAGAAAACAACCAAGCTCAGAGAGCACCAAGAACCCCGCAGTCCTCCTCTTCCTCATTCCCCTCCTCCTCCTCCTCTCTTCAAATCCCACTCTTTTCCAGCACTGATGATGTTGCCTATTTGGGTCATGAAATGTCTGCAGGAAAACAACCAAGCTCAGAGAGCCTCGAGGACCCCTGCTGCTCAACCCTGAGCTACAAATATTCTTTTTCCCTTGGTACAGAAGTGTAATTTCTAAAAATTCTGGGGCGGGGCGGGGAGCAGATCCTGCAAGAATAAGAGCGCTTGTCTGAAGAAATTTTAACAAAGCAACCCTGCCGAGTGTGTTTGTGGGAAGCAAATGCTAGAAACAGCGGGACAAAATTGGATGCCGTGAATGGAATATTCCTGTTGAGCTTTAACTCTGCAGAGGGTCAGGACAGAAAACAAAAAGCATGTTGGTTTTTTTTCTCCAAGGAGCCGCCTGGCTTCCTGGATAATATTGTTATTGTTTTAATTGAGTCGCTGCATTGATATCTAGTTTCATCAACGGCTTCTTTTCCGTTTTACCGGTTTGTGATTTTTTTGTTGTTGTTGCTTTTGGTCCCTGCAGGAGAACCCAGCAGTGAAAGGCAAAAAAATTCCAGAGGCAAAGGGCATGTTGACTGCTGTGGTGAATTTTTTTTTCCTTTCCCAAGTGGTTTTATTAAAGATTTTATTAAAGTTTACTGTAAGATAAAACATGAATGGAAACAAAAACTGAAAAAAGTTCAAAGAAAGAAGGAGGGAGGGAGAGTGGGAGGGAGAAAGGAAGGAAAGAAGGAAGGAGGGAAGGAAGGAAGGAAGGAAAAAACATGGAGGGAGGGAAGACACAAGGAAGGAAGGAAAACATGTAGGGAGGGATGGCGGAAGAAAGGAAGGAAGGAAAAAAG